TGAGCAGGGGGTTGGACTAGAAGACCTCCGAGGTCCCTTCCCACTCTGTGATTCTGTAAGGGTCTCCTGCTTGAGCAGGGGGTTGGACTAGAAGACCTCCAGGATCCCTTCCCAGACTGTTATTCTGTGATTTTGTAAGGTTCTCCTGCTTGAGCAGGGGGCTGGACTAGAAGACCTCCAGGGTCCCTTCCCAGACTGTGATTCTGTGATTTTGTGAGGGTCTCCTGCTTGAGCAGGGGGTTGGACTACAAGACCTCCAGGGTCCCTTCCCAGACTGTGATTCTGACTGGCGGAGGGAGGGTGAGTCAGGGATTGCCCTGCTGGCACCCAGTGCCAGGGTGACCTTTGCCCAGCGCCTGCTCGGCTGGACTTGCCGTGAGAGGCGGGCAGTGTTGGCATTGTGGTGGGGAGGGGCGTGTGGGGCAGAGGGAGGGGGGCTTTGCAGAAGGACAGGCCGGCTTCAGGAGAGAGACCGAGGTGGGCGGCCGCCTCTGAGACCCCCTGGCAGCCACCCCACCTGAATCCCGGACAAGCATCATACCGTCAGTCCCTGACTTACGACGGTTCATTTAGTGACCGTTCAAAGTTACAACGGCACTGAATAAAGTGACGTAGGACCGGTTCTCCCGCTTTATGACCGTCGCAGCCTCCCTGTGGTCACCTGGTGCTTGGCAACTGACTCGTATTTACGACGGTCACAGCATGCCGGGGTCATCTGGCCTTTTGGGGGCCTTCTGACGAGCAGAGTCAACGGGGAAGCCACTTAAGCGTGTTCTTAGCCGAACAGTGGCTGTGATTCGCTTAACGACGGTGGTAAGAAAGGTCGCAAAGTGAGGCAAAACTCATTTACAACTGTCTTGCTCAGTTGTGGTCGTAAGTCCGAGGACTGCCCGTATAAAAATAAATTGGGGTGGCTAGGTTTTCCCAGGGGGGGGGGCAACCTTCTCTTAGAACCTGCAGCCGCAGAGGCACTTTATCGGAGGACATACAGTCCTCGGCTTACAACCGCGATGGAGCCTGGCCAGTAAAGCCGTGACGGTCACAAAGGGGTCCCCCACGTGACCGACCTGATTTTACAACCCTTCTTTGTGACAGTTGTTAAGCGAAATGATTGTTTACTTTGGGCCATTTGGGGGAGTTGAAGCCCACAAAAAAAAAAAAACGTGGGAAAAACGATCAGAAGCGACTTTTTTTCAGTGTCGTCGCTAAACGAACCGTTGTAAATTGAGGACCGCCTGGCAAATGCAGCCGTGCGGGCAGGGAGCTTGGCACGTCGGCCACCTTGAAGGTGGGCACGGCAAGTCCTGGGCATCAGATCTGCCCCCCCCCATGCCAGTTGGGTCTGTTTATTCCGAGCTGCACAGAAGAAGCCACGTCCGTTGTGTTGTTGTTAAGCAAATCTTTGTCTTGCCCGTTGTGCTGTTGTCAGGCCGTGGTCCGGGGAGGCGGAGCCAAGGAGGCCCGTGGCTCTCAAATGGCTTGGCCAATGGCAGCCGGGGATCCCTTGATCTGCAGCTGAGCCATTAAAGCCAGCCAGCAACCGGCAGGATCCCCCTGTGGGGAAAGTTACGCGTTGTCGGTTGTGGCTGCGGTGCTCAGTTAAGCTGACACCATCGCAAAAGCCACAGAAATGTGGAGTTTCCCAGTCAAAATCACAGGTGGGGAAAACAAAACATTCTAGTCCTCAGTGTCGTAATCCCTGCACCCTCCAGGGCGGGCACGAAGCGCTTCCAGGCCAGGGCATTGGGACGGAGGAGCCCGCGGTTGGTGGGGCGGCGGGTATCGGGGCCGTCCTGGCACAGAGGTTGGCAAGGTGGGCAAAATCTTTTGGGGGGCCGAACTGGACGGCCTCGTTGCTGTCCTGGAGGCGAGTCTTACCCCTCGCCTGGCCCGTTCAGTCTCCTTTTTCCTCCCGCAGCGAAGGCGTTTTCAAGTGTCCGGAGGATCAGCTGCCCCTGGATTACGCCAAGGTGAGCCCCGTGCTGGCCAAGGCTCTCCTGGGGGGGGGCTGGGGGGGGATTTTGCCCCTCTTGGCACCTTCTGACCCACTTCCTCCCCATTCTGCCCCCCCTCTCTCTCCCTCCCGGGGAGGTCAATCCAGGCAGGAATGACTGGAAAGCCCTGTTTGACCATGGCAGGGATAATGGGGAGGGGGCTGTGGGGAGGGGAGGGCTGGAAGGGGAGGGGAGGGGCTGCCTCGTTGGGCAGGGGTTTGCTGTGTGCTCCCAGGACCCTCCAGGCCTTCTCTGAGCTCCAGTGAGGATTGGATGTGGATGGGCTTTGGTGGTGTCCAAAGGGATGGGTGGAAGGGAGGGAGGAAAGGAAAGGAAAGGAAAGAGAAAGGAAGGAAGGAGAGAAAGGAGGAAGGGGGAGAGATGGAGGAAGGAGGGAAGGAGGAGGGAAGGGAGGAAGGAAGAAGAGGGAGGATGGCAGGAAGAGAGGGAGGAGGGAAGGAAGGAGAAGGAGGGAGGGAAGAAAAAAAGACGGAGGAAGGAAAGAAGGAAGTAGGGAGGGAGGAAGAAGAGGGAGGATGGCAGGAAGAAAGGGAGGAAGGGAAGAAGAAGGGAAGGAAGGAAGGAAGGAAGGAAGGAAGGAAGGACAAACAAATACAGAGAGGATGAAGAGAGAACAGGAAGGAAGGATGGAAAGAAAGAAAAAGGAAGGAAGGAAGGAAAGAAGGAAGAACAGAAAGGAGGGAGGGAGGATAAAGAGAGAACAGGAAGGAAGGAGGGATGGAAAGAAAAAGAAAGGAAGGAAGGACAAACAGAAAGACGGGGAGGATAAAGAGAGAACAGGGAGGGAGGGAGAGAGGGAGGGAGAGAGGAAGGAAGGAAGGAAGGACAGAAAGACAGAGGAAGGGAGGGAGGATAAAGAGAGAACAGGAAGGAAGGAAGGATGGAAAGAAAAAGGAAGGAAGGAAGGAAGGAAGGAAGGAAGGACAAACAGAAAGAGAGAGGGGGGATAAAGAGAAAAGGGAGAGAAGGAGGGAGGATTGAAGGAAGGAAGGAAGGATGGAAAGAAAGAAAAAGAAAGGAAGGAAGGAAGGACAAACAGAAAGACAGAGAGGGGGAGGATAAAGAGAGAAAAGGGAGGGAAGGAAGGATTGAAGGAAGGAAAGAAGGAAGGAGCCAGCCCCACCTGAGACCCCCCTTGAGAGCCCCCCTTCGCCCTCCAGATTTACCCGGACCCCGAACTGGAGGCCCAGGTGTTGGGCCTGAGCATCAGGTGCATCCACAGTGAGGAGGGCTGTCGCTGGACTGGGACCATCCGCCATTTGCAGGTGAGCTGCCCGCTGCCCCCTCCTCCTCCTGCTCTTGGGGGGGTTTGGGGGCGAAGGGAAGGGGGGGTCCCGGCCGGCCCTCCTCCCGCCTCGGAGTGACCCCCTCCTCCCCCTCTCCTCCCCCCTGGTCCAGGCCCACCTGGGCACCTGCAGCTTCAACGTGGTGCCCTGCCCCAACCGCTGTGGGGCCAAGCTGAGCCGCCGCGACCTGCCCCCCCACCTGCAGCACGACTGTCCCCAGAGGCACCTCCAGTGCGAATTCTGCCGAGCCGACTTCACGGGGGAAGCCTTTGAGGTGAGTGGGGGGCAACTGAGGGCGGGAGGGGGGGACCAGGAGGAGCTTCGGTGGAGGTCCGTGGAGGGGGGGGCTTAAATAAACAACCCTCCAGTTGTGCGGCCCTGCCTGGCCTGCGGGTGTGTTGGGGAGGGTGTGAGCCACAATCGCAGCCTTTGTGCAGGAGGCGACAGGCCAGGCCAGCTGTCCTGGATGTCCTCCCCTCCTGTGCACACCGGCTGGGGGGGGCAGGTGCCCCGTGGTTGCTGGGGAGGGGCTTCCAAGGGGGCAGCTGCGTCTCTCTGTCCCTCTCCCTCCCTCTCTCTCTCGGGGGGGGGGGGGTCACGTGACAGCCCCGTCATGCATGTGAGAGTCAGTGGCCTGAATTTTGATCAGGTGACCCCGGGGATCGTAAGTGGGGAACATTACTGCTGGCAGTGCTGTTGTAACTGTGAATGGTCACTAATGAACAGTGGTAAGCCTGTAGTTGTATTTTCTGAATTGTAAGCTGCCCAGAGTCACTGACTGAGAGGGGTGGTTGTAGAAATTGAAAAAAATAATTAAAGTAAAATAAAGTAAAGTAAAGTAAAGTAAAATAATTAAAATAAAAAATAAAATAAAAAAAATAATAAAATAATAAAATAAATGAAATGAAATAAATAATAAAATAAATGAAATGAAATAAATAATAAAATAATATAATAAAATATAATAAAATAAATAAATAATAAATAATAAAATAAAAATAAATAAAATAAGATAAATAAAATAATAAGATAAATAAAATAAGATAAAATAAAATAAAATAAATAAAATAAACAAAATAAATAAAATAAAATAATAAAATAATAAAATAATAAAATAAAATAATAAAAAAATAAAATAAAATAAAAAAATAAAATAAAATAAAAAAATAAAATAAAATAAAACAAAATAAAACAAAGCATAAAAAGCAATTGGCCCCGTCTGCCCCACGGAGACTTCCCACCTCCCACTTCCTCCATCCACCTGGGCATTTCCTGGTGGCCTCCCATCCTCCTGCTTTTCCTCCAAAGTCCTGGCTTGGAAGATCTGGGGAGCAGGAACCCCTGGCTCACCCTTCCCTTTCTCCAATTTCTTCCCCCCTCCCCTCCCTTTCCAGAACCACCAGGGGGTCTGCCCCCAGGAGAGCGTCTACTGCGAGAACAAGTGTGGGGCGCGCATGATGCGCCGGCTGCTGTCGCAGCACATGCTGGCCGAGTGTCCGAAGCGCACCCAGCCCTGCAGCTACTGCGCCAAGGAGTTCCTCTACGACACCATCCAGGTGGGTCACGGGGCCCCCCGAAGGGCACACTGGCCTTTCAGGGGACGGGAGCCAGCTGGGGAGGGACGCCCCCTGCTTAGCTGCACGTGACACGCTGAGCCCCCACACGGGTGGGCTCTGGGAATGCCCCCATCCCGACTGCAGGGCCTTCGTGGCCCAAGGAACCTGGCTACAGAAAAGATTGGGGGGGCATGTCTGTGGGGGGGATTTGGGGGGCTCAGAGAGTGAGAGGGTCCCTTTGCATCCTGCTGCATAAGGCTCCCCCCAAGCAGCCACGGAGGGGGGGGGAGCTGGCTGGGTCTTCTGTTGCATCCCCACTTGGCCTTTGAGACTTCAAGGGGTTCCCCCCAAATACTCGGTGTATGTGTGTGTGTGTGTGTAGCAATTTCTGAGCAGCAGTCACAGAGTAGAGCTTCACTGCGGAAGGGCAGTCTACCTCCAAACCACAGAAGAAAGGCCCATGCCAGTTGCCCTTTTTGCCACATGGCCACACGGGTGCCGCAACAGTCAGACGTGTGAAAAATGGCCTCCGTCCCTTTCTGGCAGTGCCACTGTCACTTCAAACCATTACTAAATGAGTAGTTGTAAGCCGAGGACTACCTGTAATCCGGCAGATGCCACGCTGTGCCTTTTCCTCCCTCTCCAGAACCACGAGTACCAGTGCCCTCGCTACCCTGTGCCCTGTCCGAATCAGTGCGGGGCCCCCAACATCGCCCGGGAGGACCTGAGCGGGCACCTGAAGGACAGCTGCTCCACCGCCCTGGCTCTCTGCCCCTTCAAGGAGGCCGGCTGCAAACACCGGGTAAGCCACGCCCCCCCTCGCCGCCGCCCCCCTTTCCCGGAGCTGGCTAAAGACCCCACATCCCCCCTCCCTCCCCTCCCCGCCTGCCCTTGCCCGCTCCCTCAGCTGCCAGCTGCAGGCCCATCTGGCCACCATGAACCTGTTCTGTCCCAGCCTATAGCCATCCTTGTTAAATGCACAGGGACAAAACCCCTTTTGAAAAATAGGCTGGAGACTCGGAAGAAAACAAAACCCCCTTTTGAATATTGGTAACAAACCTGCCAAATGGTCCAAAAACAAAAGCAACAAAACACAATCCAAATGGAGGAAATTGTCCACACGAAACACAATGCAAAACAAGGAGTTAGTCACCGGCAACGCCAGCAGAACATGAACCCATGGAGTACTTTGCAAAGGTTGCCTTCAGCAACCAGCACCGCCCAGACCTTCCCTTTTTATTAAGCAGCCCCAAGGTGTGGCTTCTCAATGCCTTCTCCTCCGTCCTTGGAGTCGCCCCATGGCCTCCCTCTGTCCTGCTCTAGTTAACTGCCTTTGTTTATGTGTGTCTTTAATGACTTCCAGCTGTGAGTCAGAGTCTGACTCATCTTCCCCATACAGCTGTGTCTCATCCTG